AATTAATATAATAATATATATTATTAAAAGCTTATTTATTTAAATTAAAAAATAGAAAAAAATAGAAAAATTTAAAATGTTTTGTAGGGGCCCGGGCCCCTGCTTGCCCTCCCCTGGTTCCGCCCCTGCATACACAGATCAGCTAATAATCTTAATTACGCGTACTAAAACATAGACAAACAAAAAGCATCATGTTTAATGAAGTAGAGGTAATTGATTACCTTGGACAATGTACACCAGTTGAGGAACATTGGTATAGGATGGCAATAAAAGGCCATTGGGTTCAATTGTCCTTCTGACGACGGCTATACCAACACATTGAAACTGATCATGGTTGGGATCCCAGGACTCAATCACACCAGCTTCACACTTAAGGCGGTCATCAGGCCTGAGGGCGTTAAGCCTATCAAGTTGGCACTGGCCTTGTTGCTGCTGCTGACATGGGCGATCAGCTCTACGACCTAGGGAGCCATGGAAGAGAACAAGAAAAATAGATAAAGAGAGCAGGAAATAAGTTCTGTCCATGGATGGTGTAGGTACAGGCTGTTTATTGATAGTGGATTGAGGTGAAGTGGCGACTGGGAGGTGGTAGTATTGTAGATGAGAAAGGGCACCGAGTGAGGGACACATAAGGGAGATGGCAGGAGAGATTTCTTTAGCCCGTTGTTCAGTTTGCATGGCTACTTGGCCCTAACGTCTTATACCTCATAACATCAGGCAAGGCAGGTGTCCCGGAGCTTCAGAGAACATGCAGTACAAAAATGTCCAGAGAAGTAGAAAGAAGCATGAGACAGTACAACGATGCATCTTTATTTTAAGACTATATAATTACATAATTAAGCAAGCTTGTAGTATCAGGATTAAGGTTGTGTCTGTGTCCGGCAACGCGGTAGTTATTATTTTTTAAATAATTTTTTATATTAAAATATATATCAATAATTTTATTTTTTAAAAATTATTTTTAATATCAGTACATTAAAACGATTCAAAATATACCAACTATATTAAATTTTAATAAAATAAATTTAATTTTTTTAAAAACACAGGTTGAACCGCGTTCTTAAATCGTTCCTAAACACACACACACACAATCCTTTGCTCAATCAAGAAATGTTCTGGAGCACTAAGGCTTGTAGTCTAGCGATCCTGACAGGGTTTTTTTGTTTATACATTCTGAGTTAAAGCTTTAGTGTATATATTTGTTATTCTTACGGTGTTTTACATATTTACTAGGCTTGCAGGATGTTAAATGAATTCAGGAATTAATCATGGTGTGTGTAAATCAGTCTGAACATTCCAGATTATTTTTAAAAAAAATGTTCTAGACTCTTAATTAATTTATGAAATTTGATGATATTATTTATTTAAACTCCACTCAATTAATTACTTTCTCTTGGTTTTCTGAGATATTAAATTAAAACCGCTATATCATCCATGAAGTCTCATGTTTTATTGTTTGAGAGATATACATCCGTATATGCATATTGACACGTGAGGATTTACATACTTGAATGTACATCAACTTTAATTTAAAAATATAGACTAATGGATTTTTTATCAACCAATTTAGTATATACCTTGTTATTTCTGGCACTGCGCTACATGTGAGATCAAAAAAAATTTGAAAGTAAAAAGTAAATGTAGGATGGAAGGAAATATTTGATATTGTAATAAACTAAGTTCATTTGATCAAATTTAAAAAATTCTTGATCGGGACTTTATATTTTTTTAAATTATCTTATATTTAATAAGAAAAAATGACAAACACTTATAGAATCTAATATCAACCTAAATATCATGGTGTTTTATAAAATGCAAATTTTGTTTTTTTAAAAAAAAAGAAGCACACGAGGTGCTAGATTCATTGTTCATATATGAACAATTAATCTTGCTATACTGTGAATTAGATCATTTTTTTCAATAAAAAAATATTTAAGTGTTGCTAATACTTTTCTATTAGAAAAAATTTTAGATCGTGTAGAGTTGATTCGATGTGATAAGTTAACTTGGTGATTTCAAATATAATTCGGATGACTTGTAAAAATATAATTTGGTTAAAAAAATCAAGGATGTCATTTTTAAAAAATATATATATTGAGAAAATTGACTCGGATCAACTTAGATTAACTTGTTAAATTTATAACCCAGGTCATAGGACCATGATAATCCTATATATAAAAAATAAAAACAATTATGATGCACAATTGCTAAACAACTCAATATTAAATGAAAAAATTAAAAAAAAAACAATTAAAAAAAGACAAAAAAAGATCGAGTTAACCTACCAAACTCATAACTCGAGTCATGAGATCAAGATAATCATATAAAAAATAAATCAAAACAAATCATAAAGCTTCCAATCAACTCAATATTGAATAATATATAAAATTAAAAAAAAAATCAATTAAAAAAGGATATAAAAAATAACCTGAGTCAAACCAGGTTAATTAGCTAAAACCATGATCCAAATCATGAGACCAAGAAAATCTCAAAGAAAGTAAAAACAAAAAACAAAACTTTGGTCAACTTAGGTTAACCATCTAAACTCGTTAATTGGGTTATTAAATTGAAATAACATCATAAAAAGTTAATCGAAACAAATTATAAAACTCAATTCTCAATTAATTTATTGTTGAATGATTTATTAAGAAAAATTATATAAAAAAGACATAATAAAATGATCCAAGCCTACCCTAGTTAATTTGCAAAACACTTGATTCATGTTATAAAATCAGAATAACCTTATAAAAAGCAAACTAAAACAAATCAAAAAAACATGATTTCTAATCAACTTAATGTTGAAATATGAAATTAAAAAAAAATTAAGTCAATCGAGTTAACTCATCAAACCTATGACATGAGTTATAAGATTGTTATAACTATAGAGAAAGTAAAAAGCAATAAATCATGGAGCTCAATTTTCAATAAATCAATTTTTTAAAAAAAAAAACTCAAGTCAGCTAAGTTAACTTATCAAACTTATGACATGGTTCGTGAGATTGAAATAACTACAGAGAAAATAGATCACAATAAATCATGAAACTCAATTTCTAATAAACTAAATGTTAAGTGATAGAATTAAAAAAAAAATAGATTAAAAAACATTATTACAATGAATATTATTTTATGAGGTGGTGCACATTGAAAGCATCATCTCTTTAATTTTTGTTAATTTGTTATTGGTTCCCGTACTACACTGCGGGTCTGTATTATTTTTCAATAAGATATTTTGACATAACAATCGCGCTTTAGTTCTGATCAACTAAATAAGTTGGTTTTATTTGAATTATTTTAGAAAAAAAAAAAGACTACGATAACAAACAAGAAAACATATATGTATATATATAATCTATAAAAGAGGACAAACAAAATATACTATCAACTTGGATTAAAAGGTAAAATTAAAAAGAACAAAACTTTTATAAAAGAGTTAAGGAAAAAAAAGAGAAGAAATCATCAGAATAAGGATTAAATTTAGAACACAAATAATTGATCAAATAAACTTAAACATGTTGAATTTTTCATTGTGGTTTTTTACATAAAAAATCTAAATGTAAATCAAAAAACTTTTGCATTCATTTAATTAAATAAACTACTAACCATTATGTAAATAGATGAAAAAAAAGTAATCAACAATAAACATAATTGTAAAAATTAAGATATTAATATGCATAAAGATATTTAATATCATAATACAAGTCATTTATATGATTGTGTCTAATGAATTTGTTTATAAAAATCAATTTGTAATAGAGATTGACACTCACATAAAATTTATTGAAAAAAATAAAAGTAAAAAAAAATACCATGCAAAGTTGTGCATATTAAAAATATAATAAAAAATATTTAATTTATATAAAATATACAAAAAAAAATCCAAATAAATCATAAATAGTTGGTATTGAATACAATTTAAATTTTTTAAAAAAATATTTGAAAAAATACATATAAAAAAGCCATTAATATATATATATAAAAGAAATGGAGCTAGACCCTACTGAGCTTGGTAAGCCACACCCAACATCCGGCCTAATTAAAAAAGGATCATTATGCAAGTGAGGTTCTGGCCTAGTGGTGGGAGGGGTTTGTCCCCTTCCTCTGCACCTGGGTTCGAATCTTACCATGCACGCCTGTCACCCCCGCGGTGCCTTACCTGCTCACTGGGCTTGCAGGATATTCAGTGATCCGTGGGGATTAGTCGTGGTCCGCGTAAGCTGGCCTGAACACCCCACGTAAATCAAAAAAAAAAAAAGGATCATTACACGAAGGCCTTTATTTTTTTAAGTTTAATGGGACGAATGACTTGAAAAAAAAAATAGATGTATTATTTGGAAATCCCATAATCCAGCTACTAGTCTAGTTGGGAAAGATGGTTATTTTTTTATTTAAAAATTTATTTTTAATTCAAAATACTTTAGAAATATTCTAGAAATCTTGTCAAACTAATTCATAGCCTAAAAAAAAACAAATACCCAAAATTAACCAAAACAAAAAATCTTCCTAGACTTAGATCTATTTTTAAATATTTTTAAGGTAAAAAAAACACCTAATCATAACCATCTTATTATATAAAATCATTTCACAAAAAAATTGATAATTTTGATATCCTAAATCTTCTGCAACATTAACTTTCTCTCTCTTAGCCTAATTCTGGTATCCCCCCTCCTCCACCCAAAAAAGATTACAAAAAGAGAAAAATAAAGTTTAATGTTAAAATATGATTTTTTAAAACTACAAAGATCGGTTAACATGAGTAATACAAATAAATCTTTTATACCAATTGCAAATTCACCATTTATTTTACCCGATTCTTTCTCTTCAGTTTTGTCTTTTAATTCAACCTTTACCCTAAAAAAACATATCATTAGGCTTTAATATGAACTAAAAAATGCTCAATTGTGAAAATAAAAATAAAAAATCAAAGTGAAAAAAAGAAGAAGCACTATTGTATTCCACATATAGTAAACAGTAATGTATGAACAGTGAAAAGGCCACGATTTTAGAGGTGCATACAGCTCATTTGGGCATACAACTTTTTTATATTTTCCCAAAGGATTAAGGACAGAAATGTGCTTCTGGACTGATAAGATCTCAATATTCGGAATTAGCAAGGACAGTACTTCAGCATGTGGTGTATTTATGATTCCACTAGAGTAATGGAGATGGATGTGGCAAGACGAAGATACTGGGAATACATTTTGTGCAGCGAGTGGAGGAAACTGGCTGGCTAAAGTGCTGTGATGCTAAAGAAATTAGTTTGTCTGCAACTGCAATACAGGAAAATATAAAGGCAGAGGGGTTTGCTATCAAGAAACTATTAATTTATGGCTGTCTTCATCCTGTATTCCTCAAGATATCGAAGCCAAAGAAGGCTTCTCTGACCCCAAAATATATCATGGAGGTTGAATGAGGTCAATGGAGAAATTTGAAGCAGAGACGTTTAAAATAAATCTATTGCCAAAAAAAAATTCAGTCACCTTTTGAACTCAGTCTATCTATCACTAGCTTACATCTAGCACCAATAGAATTTGGTTTTCAGTTCACATCACAGAGTCTCGCACTTGAAGTTGAAGGTATTGGTCCATATGTAAATGCCGTAGCTCGCTTTCTTTTCAACCTATTCTCCATTTCTAAGGTAGTAAGGTGGCGTCTTGCTCCTGTCTCTGAATAAAAGTATCTAGACCAACAAGACAGAGAACTGGAGCAATGGACAGATACATATTTAAACAACCAAAACACACGAAAACAGTTGCCTAAGATGCATGGTAGTGAAAATGCATGTTTCAATGCTACGCTATGAAATTTCTTGGGCCTTGATTCATTAATCATCAGCAGATTCATATCCAATCCTAAGGTCATCAAATACATCAACAGATAAAATCCAATCCTGGATATTAGATAATTGGTCGCCTGGTTTTACATAATGAGCCAAGAACTTGCAGTTTTACCACAGAAATGAGAGAAGGAAGCAAAGGTATTAGTAGCCATGCAACGTCAAATTTCGAGAAAAATAGATAACTGTTACAGTTAAGAAACAGTTCGCTGATATCCAAGGACATACCTGTGGATGGAGAATGGTAATGCCAGCGCTGCAACAGTCTTCTCTCCACCAGAGAGCTGTTCCATGTCTCGGAAACGCTTTTGTGAGGGCACAGCAGTGTATTCAATACCATGTAGAAAAGGATCGTCCTCATTTTCTAAGCTCAAATATGCCGTCCCGCCCAACTGACGATTGCTGCTCTTTTTCATATCTGTGCAAACAGGAACAAAGTAAGAATTTTTATTTGTAAATTATGGGCACCGAGTTACTTTCAGTTAATTTGGCCCATAGCAAAGATAAATATCAAGAAGCAGAGGCATCACAAGCACAAGAAGGTTGAAATCAATGAACTCAAAACTATAAATATGTTAGCATCAATAAATGCACAAAATCGGTCAAGCATGTTAAATTGTTTTCATGTTTTTCACAAATACTGAAACTTGTGTCGCTGTACCATGTTAAATACATTCTCAAGTCGAAAGAGATTTACCAAGTGAAGGATTTTGGTACAAAGAGTAGATGGCTTGACTAGGTTGACAAGCTGGATTAATCCCCTGATACCAAGAAACAAAAGACAAATGTAAGCACTCAAGCATGCTGTTTCCAAGACCATCAATAGGAAACAGATAACAAAAATTAAGTTGCCAAGGGTTCTTTTTATTCTTGTATGAAGGGACAATTCTTTTCTCAAACTGTGTTCACTGTACCATATTTTATTCCTTCACACATAAGTCTGAGATAACATTTGTCCTGGATCCTGATCATTACTTGCTAAATGGCTTGTCAAAAAACACCACGTAATTATTACCTTCTCTGCTTTACTGCATTGTAACCATCAGCTATTTGCTTCTCTTCCATTCTGGCTGCTTCAAACTCTTCAGTGACTACTTTTTCTTTCTCACGCAGAGCCTCATATTGATACAGGGCCTTCAAGCTTGGGGCATTTTTTTCAATTTCTGATATCAAGCCATCCATCTTTTGCTTAAATTCCGCCTCAGGTTTCTCTCTGGCAGAAGGTCTCCTATCCTGAAGAGATCTATTTAGCTGGCAAAAATCATAACATGGGCCAGGAATTGATGAGTCAATGTCCATGGTTATATTCCAAGTTTAGGCAGTAAGGATTTATGTTTCACAAAAAACGTTTAAAAGATTTATTTTTCACAATTTCTTTTTTTATAGGATCCTTCACAATTTTTTTTTTCAATTTTTGCGTGGATGATCTGCAGTGGACTGGAAAATAATTAAATTAGTTTACAGGCAAAAATTGACCTGGAAATACCGGCTCAATACAATTTAATAAACACAAAATTTAATTGAAATGTCGAAAGAAGAAGGGACAATACCCTGCTAGTGGTCTGATATGATTTCGAAACGTTGTTAAAATGAATTCAGGAGGATTCAAGAATTTTCAGAACACCTGGTGCTTCAGATGAGGACTGTGGAGCAAAGGAGGGGGGATAATAATGGCCACGCCACGAGGGGAACTGATCGCTACTGAACCCATTAACCTCTCCGTGCAGTAACAGCAATAAAGAACCCGGTGGAGGTTCGGCCAGTGCAGGATTAATAGAAAGCAGCACCAGTATGAAGGATGGTGAAATGAAGAACAGTGATTACAGGAGTACAAAACCAAGAACTCATTCCCAGGAAAAGAATGAGGAAGATAAGTATAACAAACTCAATTACATAAAATCTCTCAGCTAACTGAAACAGCTCGATTATTTATTTATCACTACACAGAAGGAAAGAACAAATTATTTGTACACATGAAATCGATGATTAGAGAAAGTACAGTCGAAACGTGCATTTTAACAAACCCTGCATACAGCACTTCAATCACTGAATTCTCCTTCATCAATTTTCTTCGCACTGCTAGATTCTGTACTCTCTCCTTTGTAGGAATCTGCTGTCTTGTTTTTATCATGATGTTCAATTTCAGCAAGCAACATATTGGCCCCAATGGGAGAATCTGTTATCTTGGTTTCATTTTTATGTCCACCTTGAGCGGCCAACATATTGGCCCCAATGGGATAATCTGCTATTTTGGTTTCATTTTGATGTCCAAGTTGAGCAGGTAACATACTGGCCGCATTGTTGTCAGAACTTTCAGGCAGCTGCTCTCTAGATTTTATACCAGCTTCTAACTCCTCGTACTGGGAAATGACTTGCTGGAGCTCATCATGGAGATTCAAGGCTTCAAAAAGCATTGCCTCGTCATCAGTGGTGCTTTCTATGATCCTCTGAATGTCAGGCTGTGACTGCTTGCACTTGTCCAACAAGCTAACCGTCAGATCTTCCTGCAGCCACACAGGAAGTTTTAATAATCGCAGCCATTATTTCATAGTGCGTTTATTTCCCCTCTATCTTGCTTGTGAAAATGTAGTCACTCAGCTATATGTTTTACAATGGGATCACAGAAAAGAGATCCCAGGAATATAATGTGCTTTCAAACTCATATTAACAATTTTTTTGTTTAGCACCATCACTGCAATTTGTCATGTCGTTTTTCTGGAACCCAATAGCATTAGCAAGTACGAAAAAAAATGAAAGATGAAAAATTCTTTATTCTGTGAAATATCAGAAAGATTAAAATAAACTTAAAAGCACGTATCAACTAAAAACGAAATTCAAAAATGTATATAAAAAGGTTAACAAGGATGAGCTGTTTAATGAGACTGATAATTTCTTATTGAATAACACCCAAAAAAATGAATTACCTTAATGGGTTTTGGCTCAGTTTCAGCTTTCAAAATACTAGAAAGAAGTTCCAGACTGTTCCGAGTTGTTACAAGCGTTTCATTCTTTTCCTTAATTGATAACCCCCCAAAGTTATATGGAAGAGTATTATGATCTGCACCATGCAATCCCATGTCAGGAATAGGATAGTTTCCAGGAGGTGACAACGGTTCCTGGTGAACAAACGACTCCAATGAATACTGCATGGGGAATGGACTACCATCTTCAACTGGTGGTGGAGGCAGACTTCTTTCTTTTAAGCTCTGCCAGAGCCAGAAAACAATATTAGATGTAAGAAAAGAAAAACAAACGACAGAGGCTTTTCTGACTTTCAAGAATCAACGAGAACCAGAGTAACAATTGGCACAAAATAACATAGGAAAGAAAGGGGAGGGGGTGGTGCATCCATTTATAGAACTGACAAGCAACATAAGGAATAAACGGGCATATGTTAGTTCATCAAAAATTGGAAGACATGACACAAGTTAGGGAGGAATAGTGATATATTAGCATGACCCTGTCCAATAATCCTTCTCCATTAAGGAAAAAAGGTGCACCAGTTTATCACTTAATGACCACAGATCCCAAAGGTGCTCCTTTGTGGCCTTCTTTTAAAAGGATCGGTAAGTAATTTTGTTAGGTGCTAAATTTGTAACTTTGCCTCACATTCACAGGCTGTAACTATGAAGAAAGACATGGTTGAAAAAATGTAAGCAAACCCGCATTCCCAAAACTTTTAGCTTATTAGGTTTCTGATTTTGCAGCATATAGCAAAATCCAAGCCTTAAGAACATGCCAAAACCCAAGAAGCTGTCAAATAAATAATAAATTGCAGTTCTATACACTGACCCATTTACAACATTCAAGCATAAAGCTAAATATCCAACTGGTTTTCTTTTTTTGGCCAAACCAACTAGCTTATCAACTATGAGGAATGGCATCAGATATGCAGAGACTAAAACCAATCCAAGCCACAAGGCATAAGTATCACAACTGTATGTGTGAAATGATAATAGTGATCCTTGATTAAACACACCGAACTATTACCTAATCATACACAAACAATTGGTGTATGTCCATAGCAATGACAGCATTTGTTTACTGAAAGAAAGCTAACCATATAAGTCTGATGAAAGACAGGCAGATACTCAAGATCCTCAGACTCTCCCCAAGCCCTAATCAACTGCAAAGCTCGATCACGATTCCCCTGATCCGTCTGCGGATTCTCAATCATCCTAGCCATCTCATCCAACACCTTCTCAGACGCCACCTCAGAGAACACCTTCTCACAATTCGAAGTACATGCCTCCAACAAATCAAGACTCAGCCTTTGGCTCACCACACTATTTCCCGAAAACTTCCTCTTTATAGCCTTAACAATCTCAGTACCACTAAACTCTTGGCTATTGATCATCGCACATATCCTCAAATTCAAACCCCAGTTAGGCTCCTCCATTGTCTCTAACGTAGCTTCATCGACCATCTTCGATTCAGGCGTTGGGGTTTGCAGCATTTCTTTCACCTTACCACTTACAAGTCGACTCATTTGAGCCCCACCAGTCTTCAACAGTTCACCCCATTCAGATAATTTCAGCTTGTCCATCTCTTATTTTACGCTCAAAACACAAACATCAACAGCTATGACAGCAACAACAACCAGTGATTCAATTTATAAACAAAAATCAAACATTGACTAAGCTTTCCTAGGAATAAAGAATGACAAACCTAAGGTCAGCTGCAATTGCAAAACCCTAATTTTGGTTTGAACAGAGAATTGAAAGCTCTAGTTGAGAAATTCCTGTGGAAACGTAGCAGTTTTTTAGAGGATATGTTAAAAAAAGCTCCGCTCGAGAATGAATTGGGCAGTTTTAATTTCCAGATGTTCTTTTGCCAGTGGTGACGAGTCAAGATACACGTGCCCTGTGTTGACAAGTCGTTTTCAAATACAAAAACGATGCATGGCAGTGGCAGCGTGGCATCGCTCTGTAACAATCATTAATTCCTTAATAAATATTTATTCGAATTGGTTCGTATAAAAAGACTTATCGTTTATGAAGAAAATACACTCGGCATTTTACAAGACGACACGTCATTTTAAGGGAAAGACGGACTTTGTTTGAAAACAAGTGTACGTCGCGGTGGTTGCATTATAAAATATTTTTTATTTAAAATTATATTAAAATAATATTTTTTTATTTATTAGAACTTATTTTTAATATCATTATATAAAAAATAAATTTAAATAATTTGTTTTTTGAAATAACAAAACCAAACAAACTCTTATGGACTCTTCTTACTGTGTGGGCTTGCAGCCTTACACAGAGTCTAGTTCTTCGACCCGTGAAAGAGAGGGACCGAATTGACCCGGCCTGAGGCTATAAAAACCTATCAAATTTAATTGAATATGTTTGGTAGTACGATAATTATTATTTTTTTAAATAATTTTTTATATTAAAACAAATATTAATATATTTTTTTAAAAAATTATTTTTAATATTAATGCATCAAAATAATTTAAAATTTATAAATTATATTAAATTTTAATAAAAATATTTTTAAAATTTTTTAGGAATAAGGTTGAACGAATTCCAAACAGCTCCTCAATTGAAGGCGCTAAAAAGATCGATTAAAATAAATAATAATAAAAAAAACTGTTAAAATAAAAGGAAAGGAAAAACCTGTGTACAGCTAGGGGTTTAAGGATAAACCAGCAACCGAAGATAAAGAAGGAAACAAACACTCACAAAACTAAACAAAAACAGTAATTGTCTGCTAGGGAAATGGCTTCTCTGTCGACTTGGTGTCGTTACATTGCTCACAAATTCGAGTACTCTCTCTCTCTCAGCTACAAGGTCCCCCCCTCTCTAAACCCATTTTTATTTTCTTTTTTGCTGTTACACAAGATTGATGCAATTCGACGAGTGTGTGTTTGTGGGTTTTCTCATTTATGCCTGTTTTGATGATTTTGTGCCTTGTATCTGGTTTCTCGGTTTTGGTTTACCCGGGTAAAGGCTGCAAATTTTGCTAGAAAGATTTCTTTTTGCTTGATGGGTTTCTTTCTTCATTGATCTTGATGCGGGGTTTACCGGAAATGGGATGTTTCAATGCCATTCTCTCTTGTTTTATAAGATATGCATTTTTTTGGAGACTAAGCTTTATCCGCTCTATGTCTTTTACTTGTGAGAATATAGTGTCTATGGGTATGTTTGAGGGAACAATACTTTGCTGGAGAAACTCAATTGTAGATGTTGTGTTGCAGAATTTTGCTTGATTTTTGTTGTAAAAGGAAGTTTTATCCAATAAAGTCTAAGATTTGGGAAAGATTTATATTGTTTTATAAGGCTCCCCAGAATTGTTGCCACATGCTCACTTCGTTGTATTCACTTATTCTTCTATCATTTTTTTTTGTTTTTCGAACTGTCAAACGCATCAGCTGATATCATGCACGCCACTTCATTTCTTTGCTGCTGTTTCTACACCTATAGCTGTGGTTAAAGTTGAGGATAATTGAACCATTCTTATATTGATTATTCTGATGTAGCCTTCAACTTGTTGCAGAGCTACAAGGGTGGCATAATCAATAATAAAGAAGTCTATGATACAGTATGGAAAAATCTATTTCAGGGAAAGTTGACATTTTTACATTGGAATAAAGGACGGGAAATGGCCCCAACAATTGGAGACCAAGGGGGGACCCTTCTTGTTCGCAAATTACCAACTGCTGATCCAATGTAAGAATACTTAACTTGTATGTGTGGCTGGATGTTTGATTATTATTATTTTTATTTCTTAACCATCGTAGAGAAGCATACTATTCGATAAGTATAGTATCAGGCAATAAGAATGCGACATCCTGTGCATGGATGATTCATATAGATGATTCTAATATGTCATGAAGGATTTTGGTGCTTTTGTTGATTGCTGTTTGCAGGGCCTATCCATTTTGCGATGTATTTTATGCATAACTGGTAGCTTGTTAGATGCTTGCTTGCTAGAAAATGAGCCTATGCTGATGGGAGTAATGCTCATGGTGCACTAGGGCTGTATGGGTTTGAGATGAATGACACCCTGCCTGGCCATGATAAACCTTGATACCATCAATATAATGTTTTAATTGGCATGATGTTAGTGGCAGGGTGGAGTACCCATTATGGGGGATTTTCTAATGTGGATGGAAAATTATGTTGCCAGCTTATTCATCTGAATTGATATTCTTTACGAAGTTTTCTGAGTGATCTACCTTCAAAGCTCACTTTTTTGAGAATTGTGGAATCATTATTTCGTTCAATGATAAAATATTTGGCTGCCAATTTGTAAACATGTGGATTCAAGTCTTGGGAGTTGACTTAATGCAAAACTTCTAATGTTAGTGCTCAGGACCATATCCATAAATGTTGTAGTACACATGTGAGGTAGGAGCCTTGCCTTTATAAGTAAAGTGATCAAGTGAGGAAGATATATGCATGCAAAGACATGTGATCCTTCAGTTTAAACTATAGGGTGGACATGCTGCCCATTATGATATCAGCCTTCTGTTCTGTGTAAAAACCTTCCTACAAGAAAGCATGAGCTATTTGGTAGAGGAGCCTTAGCCATACCAAGCTTTATATACAATACCCAAAAAAAGAGAAATCGTTAAAGCCTCTAGTCTTTAGGTCCAATCAAACTCCTCGAGCAATCTAGTTGACAACCAGGATAAACAAGCCTGGCACAAGGGATAACAACATTACATCGAAGCATAACAAATGCTAGATTTCAATGCCATGTTCTGGAATCCTTCTAAACTCAAAGCTTTTAGTTATAAAGCTATATGAAACTTTATACACAATCATCCTAGGGTTATCAGCAACATAAACCTTTGCCAATGTCTGATGACTTTGATTTGGCTGCTCTACTCAACCTTTGATAAGTACATAGATTGGCTTTCTCTATCTAGGTACATTGCTGGCTAAGTTTTCACAAGCTGATGTGATTGTAGATCATTCTCTATCACTTCAATCCACACTACTTTCTAAACCCCACCACCATAGACTTCAACGCTATCAATTTTCTTTGCTGGTGGAACCATAGGTTGATGATGGATATGTTCTACAAATGGGGATCATATATATTTTTTATTAAAGAAATGGGGCTGTGTGAGTATTGTTTCATCTCATTCAGGTAATACCAATGCCATGTTCTTATTACTGCAAATGAGGATCAATACATAATTTTCTTTTGTTACTGACAACCTTGGTTGGTTGTTGAGAGGGTTGCCTAAAAGCAGTATATAAGGCATACCCTGTAAAATTTACAAGTAAACCAGATATAGAGATGGCGACTAGGGCTGCTGTTTCCATTATTATGTAATAATAATAAAAAAAAATTTCCAGACCACGATGGATCTCTGATAAGATCATTTATTTACAACGGAATGGTATACAAAGTCAACAGATCTCAGCTAATACAAAAAGGATTTATGGCTACACAAAGCGTTGAGGGAAGTTCTAAATCTGGTCCAAGGCGAACTATTGCAGGCACCCTTTTGTTGCTTTTTTTTTTTTTTAATTCTTTTGCTCTAAAATAACATGGTGAGTAATAAGTCACAGTTCTCGGCAGGCGTGTTTTTGTTGGAGATGTTGTGCTTTTGAAGGATCCTGAGAAGTCAGATAATTTTCTAGTCAGAAGATTAACTGCTATTGAAGGGTATGAAATGGTGTCTACTGATGAAAAAGATGACCCGTTTGTTCTTGACAAGGATGAGTGTTGGGTATTGGCTGACAATGATAAGTTGAAGCCCAAGGTATGTATGATTTTGATATCATAAAAATAGGATTATATATGCTAACAGATTGTTTGATCTGTTCTCATGTCAAATCTTTCAACCAAAGCTCACCAACATCAGAATTTACATATTTATTTCCAAAAATGCCTAAACAATTGGGATAATTGATTTTTTCAAGTCATCTTTCTATGATTTATTAAGCTTATCATATAAGGCTTTTAGCACTAGTGGACTTGGTAGTTGGTGCTGGTCTCATTGCTGACCAAGGAAATAGTTAGACATGGTTTTGCTTGTGATGGGATTAGATATTGGTTTCACAGAAATGTCAGACTTCAGGAAACCTAGTTTGTTATCATGAAGTACACATTGTACTGCAGATTTCTAAATTAACTTGATTTCTTTTTAATCGTTAGAACACTATATGCCATAAGGAAACAAGCTAAAGGTTTTGATAATGCATCTATTAGATTCCAGATTTTTTGCTACCATATTCATTTACATTTTTATTTATTTATTTAGCTTTTCTTCTATGAAGAGACATAAGAAATAAAGATGTCTAAATTACCAAATGAGATCAATAATAATTCGACAGTTACTTCTTTTTGCATTTTATTCTAATTGAGACTGGGTAGCATCTAAAATTTATAATTAGAATGTTGGCAGCTCCCCCAACCAGCCATTTATCACCAAGATCACTTTCTCAAATTCTGTAAATATTTCTTTTTAAATGTATCGAACTGAATGAGTTGTATATCTACTCTACCTTATCTCAGCTTCACAGTCATTTTCTCCTTCTTTAATGCTAGACTATTCTTCCTTCTATTTTTTCTTGCGGGTGCAATTAAAGTTTAGTTGTAACTTTTGGCCTGAAGATTGCATTTGAATATTTTATGGCTTGAGCAAAAACTGGTTGACCTTGCCCTTCTTCATTATTTTTCTTTGTTTGTTTGTTTGTTTGTTTGTTTTATTGGTATCACAGGAAGCCAATGACAGTCGAACATTTGGTCCAATTTCCATGTCAAACATAGTTGGTCGAGTTATATATTGTCTGCAAACAGCTGTGGACCATGGTCCTGTACAGAACAGGTAAGTATCTGGATGCTAGTTTGTTTAATTTTTCCTT